ATATAGCATCATATGAACAGCTTTAGCTTGTGGAAATAAAATATTAAGTTGTTGGCGTGATTGATTGATGTTTAGAAATTGTTCATTAAGAAGCCTACTCTATGATATATCAAAGACAGTGACAGCATCCTTCTGCCATTAGCTTCTTTCATTCCTATTATATTTTCTGGAATACTTTCTTAAGAATATTAATTTTCCTGCACTCTTTTTTTTTTTTTTGAGACAGAGTTTTGCTTCTTCACCTAGGCTGGAGTGCAATGGCGTAATCTGGCGTCACAGCAACCTCTGCCTCCCATCTTCAAGCAATTCTCCTGCCTCGGCCTCCTGAGTAGCCGGGATTACAGGTGTGCGCCACCATACCCAGCTAATTTTTTTTTTTTTTTTTTTTTTTTTTTTTTTTTTTTGAGACAGAGTTTCCCTCTTGTTACCCAGGCTGGAGTGCAATGGCGCGATCTCGGCTCACCGCAACCTCCGCCTCCTGGGTTCAAGCAATTCTCCCGCCTCAGCCTCCTGAGTAGTTGGGATTACAGGCACGCGCCACCATGCCCAGCTAATTTTTTGTATTTTTAGTAGAGACGGGGTTTCACCATATTTGTCAGGCTGGTATCAAACTCCTGACCTTGTGATTTGCCCACCTTGGCCTCCCAAAGTGCTGGGATTACAGGCGTGAGCCTGCATTTTTTTTTAATAATTGTTGTTTAATGAGCAACTTTTAAATTTAAATTTCTACACATCCACCCATTCGTAGAAAGTTTTACTTGTTTATTGTCACTGAAAACTCCTTGTTTGTTAAAACAGGCTAATGAATCAGGGTTACGGATTAGAGCCTGGAAAAATCTCAGCATGCTTAGTAACAGTAGAGTACTTTAAAACTATTAGCGTGATGAGGACTTTTATAACACGAATGAGTCCTCATTATTTCCTGAAGGATAACTTTGGGGATACTTTCCCATTCATGTCATTGTATAACTAGGAACTGGAGGTAATACAGTTGTACAGAAAAACTTTTTTGTTCGTTTGTTTTTACTTTTGAGACAGGGTCTAGCTCTGTCACCCAGCTGGAGGACAGTGGCACAATCACAGCTACTGCAGCCTTGACCACCAGAGCTCAAGTGATCCCCCTGTCTCTGCCTCCTAAAAGCTGGGACCACAAGTATGGGCCAACCATGCCTGGCTAATTTTTTTTTTTTTTTTTTTTTGAGAAGGAGTCTTGCTCTGTTGCCAGTCTGGTGTGTAGTGGTGCAATCTCGGCTCACTGCAACCTCTGCCTCCTGGGTTCAAGCGATTCTTCTGCCTCAGCCTCCTGAGTAGCTGGGACCACAGGCACATGCCGAAATGCCCGGCTATTTTTTGTATTTTTAGTAGAGACGGGGTTTCACCATGTTGGCCAGGATGGTCTCGATCTCTTGACCTCATGATCCGCCTCCCTCGGCCTCCCAAAGTGCTGGGGTTACAGGTGTGAACCAACGTGCCCGGCCCCAGCTAATTTTTTTTTTTTTTTTTTCCGCTTTTGGTAGAGACGGGGTCTTCTATGTTACCCAGGCTGATCTGGAACTTTTGGGCTCAAATGATCCTCCCACCTTGGCCTCCCAAAGTGCTGGGAATGTAGGTATCAGCCACCTGTGCCTGGCCAGAAACATTGTTTTTTAAAAATAGTCATGCCGGGCACAGTGGCTCACGCCTGTAATCCCAGAACTTTGGGATGCCGAGGTGGGTGGATCACTTGAGGTCAGGAGTTTGAGACCAGCCTGACCAAATATGATGAAACCCCGTCTTAAAAATAAATAAATAAAAATAGTCACAAAACATGAGTCTGAAGGAAGAAAAAAACTACCTGATGGTTGAATTCTTTCCTCAATATCCTAGTAAAATGGTTATCAAAACAGTGTTTGAACACCTTACTTATCTGGGAACTCACTAACTCTGAGGATGTTTGTTCTGTCTTCAGAATGCTGATTATTGAAAGTATTTTCTTGGCCAGCCTCAGGGCTCATGCCTGTAATCCCAGCATTGGGTGGCTGCAGTGGGAGGATCACTTGCGCTTAGGATTCAGAGACCAGCCTGGGCAAGAAGCACCCTTCATCTCTACTTAAAAAAAAAAAAAAAAAAAAAGGCCAGGCGCGGTGGCTCACGCCTATAATCCCAGCACTTTGGGAGGCCAAGGCGGGTGGATCACGAGGTCAAGAGATCAAGACCATCCTGGTCAGCAAGGTGAAACCCCGTCTCTGCTAAAAATACAAAAATTAGCTGGGCATGGTGGTGCGCGCCTATAGTCCCAGCTACTTGGGAGGCTGAGGCAGGAGAATTGCTTGAACCCAGAAGGCGGAGGGTGCAGTGAGCCGAGATTGTGTCATTATTGCACTTCAGTCTGGGTAACAACAGCGAAAAAAAAAAAAACAGCTGGACATGGTGGTAGGGGCTGTAGTCCTAGCTACCTGTTGGGGAGAGGTGCTGAGGTGGCAGGATCACTTGAGTTGAGAGGTGGAGGCTGTAGTGAGCCATGATTATGCCACTGCACTTTAGCCTGGGCAACAAAGTGAGACCCTGTCTCAAAAAAAGAAGAAAATGTATTCAGAAAGTTAAAGAATGACTCACTAGAGTCCTTTTGGGCCATAATAAAACAAATCTATTTTTTCTGCTTTATGAAAAATTCTTGGGTTGATTGAAATTGGTTCACATCTTTTTATCTTCTCTGTGTTTGTTCCCTGGCTTTTTTGTATAGCCTCGTTTTGAGATACTTTGTCTAATTTATTAATATTCTTTTTGAAATGTGTTAATACATAGAATGTATGTTTTGGAGGACAGTGGTTTGCTTTTAAATCCAGTCTTCATGTCAGGCATGGTGGCTCCCGCCTGTAATCCTAGCACTTTGGGAGGCCGAGAATTCGAGATGAGCCTGACTACTAACATGGCAAAAACCTGTCTCTACTAAAAATACAAAAATTAACTAGGCGTAGTGCCGGGCGCTTGTAATCCCAGCTACTCAGGAGGCTGAGGCAGGCAATTGGTTGAACCCAGGAGGTGGAGGTTGCAGTGAGCTGAGATCGAGCCATTGCACTCCAGCCTGGGTGACAGAGCAAGACTCTGCCTGGGGAGGGGGGGAAAAAAAAACAGCCTTCAATAGAGAATTCCCACTTTGTTTATATTGTGTCCTCTTTAAATTAGTTTTAGAGAAATAGATTTCTCAGTTGTGCCATACTGTAACCATTACTCTTGAGTACTTAAATTTTTAAATTGTTTGATTCTCTGCTCATACCTATTTATTTGTACATTTATTGTCTTGGATATGTAAATATAGGACTTCATATTTATTTCTTTAAAATTGTATCTGGTCTATTAATACTTTTGAATCTTGATCCATGAATTAACTTTTCTTTTGAGTTGGGATATTACACAAAATTAAGTATACTTTTGTTTTATAATTAGGTTGTTGGCAAGAAAGTTAAATAGGCAGACTAATTTTTAGATACTGTATACAAAGCTAAGGCTCAGACCTGTGTGCCATACATTAGTCCTGTTCCCTGTTAATATAAACTTCCCTGTGGCATATGAATAAATAAATATTTTAAAGATCTGCCTTCTTAATCTTCTGTACACCTGGAGCATTACTTTTTGGCTTTTCTAAGATTCATTTGCTTCTCCTTCTGTAGATCCAATTTAATTGTATCCTTTTTAGAAAGGTCTTTAACCAGCTCATTCCAAGTAGCCCCCCATAATAACAGGGAGCATTGCTGTTTTATTGCATCATCTAACTTTGTTCTTAGTCTTGATTCTTGTTGTTTCTCCTCATATAAAAATGTGAGCTCCATGAAGTCAGACTGTGGGACTTAACTCCATATCCCAAGTACCTAACATAGTGCTTTCCGCAAGTGGGAACTTAATAGTCGAAGGAATGAAAATGACTTGTACTCCTTTTTTACCAATCCTCCAGAGATTCTGAGATGTTTGAAGGGTGGCCACACCTCCAGTTGGAAAATCTCTGATTTGCTTTGATTACCCATTGGTCGGTCACACCTGTGATGATGATCTTTGCATCTTGCTATTTTTTTCTCAAATTAAAATTTTTAATTAAAGTAAAAATTAAAATTTTTCCCCCGAAAGAATTTCCTGAAAGATCTTATCAGTTACTTAGGTACATGTAAAAATGGATAGATTTCTCAGATATGAGAAAAGTCTCCGGTTTGGTAAATAATACCTAATGGGAATTTCCAAGAAGAAGGATCCTAGGTTCAGTATTTATTTCCCTAATATATGCTTATCATAGGTGGGGTTAAATGCTTGTTTTCTATGTTCTTATATTGGTTCTTATTAGTAAATCATCTCTCTACTAGTTCACATGGAGTCTTATCCCCAGAAAAGACTATATGAACGTCACTAGCCTGTTTTGTTGTGTGTGTTTTTTCAAGTTTATTTTGTATTTTTTAAAATGAGACAGGTCTTAGTATGTTGCCCAGACTGGTCCCAAACACCTGGGCTGAAGCGGATCCTCCTGCCTTGGCCTTCCAAAATACTGGGATTATAGGCATGAACCACCATGCCCAGTCACTAGTCTGTTTCTTGAGGACTCCATCTTCATTTGAGAAATAGAGCGCTCTTCAAAGCACATTGACATCTCAACAATTAGATTTATATGTTCTTTTAGTTTGGTTTAAAATTAACTTTAACATTTTTTGTGTTGTGGAGCTAAATGAACTATGTTGTGATATAGAAGCTAGAAGCTTTTTTCAGATTCTGAAAAACCTTTCCATATCCATTTATTCTTAAGTAGAAGTGATCCCTGTTCCCATCTGTTGGTAGACAGAATTGATGCCATTTTTTTCTTCTGACACCATGTTTTATATTTGTCTATGAAATTTTGTAATTTGGAAACCCCTACATAAAGAAGCATCTGTATGACTTAATGTGTATTCTAAAAAGAACCGTGGTTGTTGATGCATTTAAAAAAAAAAAAAACAAAAAGTGTTTTATATTTTAATGTTAATGTTTTTTTTCCCTTCCAGAGAATGGACCTTGGAGAATGTCTGAAAGTCCATGACCTGGCTTTAAGAGCGGATTATGAAATTGCATCCAAAGAACAAGATTTTTTCTTTGAACTTGATGTATGTGATTTTGCTTAATGGTTTGTTGTTATCTTTTGCTGTAAAACATTTGTGAATATGGATTAATATCTCTTAATAGGAAAAACTTAGCAGTTTATCCTCTGTGGTTATATGAAGGGTAAGACTCAAGTAAGATCATGTACTTTCTTGACAACTCTTTTAAAAATAAGAGGTGAGGTTGGGCGTGGTGGCTCATGCCTGTAATCCCAGCAATTTGGGAGGCTCAGGCAGGCGGATCACTGGAGGTCAGGAGTTCAAGACCAGACTGACAGACACAGAGAAACCCCATCTCTAAAATTAAAAGAAAATATATGAGGTGAGACTGTATTTTAAGAAAATGTGTAAAAGTCAATGATTCATATATTCTTTTGAAAATTAAGCATATTCTTCCCAACAAAGTAGTAACAATTGAGGAAATATCAAGCAAATGTAAGCAACTAATTTCTAGTGTATATTGGGACCTATTTTTAGTAATATATTGAGTTTTTACATTCATATTTTTGTATATATATATATATATGTATCTGTATATATAGATATATATATACGTATATGTAGTTGACACCCCCCCCCCAACATACACACATATATGTCATTGAATCTGTAGAAGGAACCAACTGGGGATTGCAAATATTTAGGAGAAGAAATGGATTGTTGCATCCGTACTGGACATGTACAGACATTTTTTTCTTGTTATTATTCCCTAAACATTACAGTATAACTGTTTACATAGCATTTACTTTGTATTAGTATTATAAGTAATCTGGAGACAATTTAAAGTATGTGGGAGGATGTGTAATGGGAGATTATACGCAAATACTGCGCCATTTTAGATAAAAAAACTGGAACATTTGTGGATTTTGGTATCTACTGGGTATCCTGGAACCAATCTCCCAAGATACTGAGGAACGTGCTTGTGGGTATTTGGGAGATATTAAGGACGATGTTTTTAAAGAAAAACTAAGAAGTAGAAGACACCATTTAGATACCTAAAAGAGCCTGAAATGTAACTGTAAATTGTTGCTTTTACATGAAAATGGTTTGCATAAAAATAGAGAAATATTTTTCACATATATATAAAGCATAACAATCAGCATTACATAAAACATACTGCTGTGCATAGATCTTGTACATTTTATTAGTGAAATAATGTCTTAAATTTGGTTTAGGAGATAAACCAATAAATAGGCCCCCCTGTCTTCTGAATTTCCAAGAATTTCTGCTAATGAAATGCAGTTGTTTTCTGAAATATAATTTACAACAAATTTTCCCTACTTTTTTGGTGGTTTTTTTGACTTTGCGGAGTATTTTTACATTTAAATTCTCTGATTTATCAGTTTTAACAAATGTATAGCCGGGTGTTGTGGCTCATATGCCTGTAATCCCAGCACTTTGGGAGGCTGAGGTGGGTGGATCACCTGAGGTCTGGAGTTTGAGACCAGCTTGGCCAACATGGTGAAACCTCATCTCTACTAAACATACAAAAAATTTAGCTGGGTGTGGTGGTGGGTGCCTGTAATCCCAGTTACTTGGGAGGCTGAGGCAGGAGAATCACTTGCACCTGGGAGGCGGAGGTTGCAGTGAGCTGAGATCGTGCCACTGTACTCCAGCCTGGGTGACAGAGCAAGACTCATCTCAAAAAAGAAAAGAAAAAATTCTAAAGCAGCATGGAGAATTAAAAGAAAAAAAAGTAAAATGTTCAGAAATACTTACTGTTAGGATTTTGTAGTTTTCCGTTTTTTTCTGTCTTTATTTTCTGTTTGTCCATTCAGATCTAGATTTGCAGATTTTTCTCTTTTTCTGACACTTGTAATTTGCTTTTTATTTACAAATGAATCCTGAACATTTCTCCATGTCCTGAAGTTTTTTTTTTTTTTTTTTTTTTGAGACAGAATGTCATTCTGTTGCCCATGCTGGAATGCAGTGGCATGATGTCGGCCAACTGCAACCTCCACCTCCTAAGTTCAAGCAATTCTCCTGCCTCAGCCTCCCAAGTAGCTGGGATTACAGGTGTGAACCATCATGCCTGGCTAGTTCTTGTATTTTTAGTAGAGATGGGGTTTCACCATGTTGGCTAGGGTGGTCTCTAACTCTCGACTATAGGCGATTTGCCCACTTCGGCCTCCTAAAGTGCTGGAATTACAGGCATGACCCACTGTGTCCAACTTTTTTTTTTTTTTTTTTTTAAATGACAGGGTCTCACACTGTCATCCAGACTGGAGTGTAATGGCACCATTGGGGCTCACTGCAGCTTCAGCCTCCTAGGGCTGAAGTGTTCCTTCTGCCTCAACCTATTGAGTAGCTGAGACTACAGGTCTGTGCCACCCACCCGGCTAATTTTTGTATTTTCAGTACAGGCAGGGTTTCGCCAAGTTGGCCAGGCAGGTCTCAAGTGATCTGCCTGCCTTGGCCTGCTAAAGTCGATGTGAGCTACCATGCCCTGCCATGGTAGCATTTTAAAAACAGTGTAATTTTTGTATGAGGATATTTCTGAATAAAGTTGACTTTCTGACAGTAATTGTCTTTAATTAAACTTTGCAGGCCATGGATCATCTGCAGTCATTCATTGCAGATTGTGATCGTAGAACAGAGGTGGCCAAGAAAAGATTAGCAGAAACCCAAGAAGAGATTAGTGCTGAAGTAGCAGCAAAGGTAAGAATTTTAATCATTTCATTAGTACAAAGTATTGTTTTGACTCACTCCTTTTGTTTAACTTTTTATTTTGAAATAATTAGATTTGCAAGAGATTGCAAAGACATATTAGAAGGAATTCTGTATGCTTTCTCTTGTCTGCCTCAGCATTAACATCTTACACAATATACAATATCAAAGAAATTGACATTGGTCTAATCCTTATATTTTATTCAGATTTTGCTAGTTATGCATGTATTTATTTGTGTATGCATGTCTGTATGCATAGCTCTGTGTAGTTTTGTTTCTGTCGCCGAGGCTGGAGTGCAGTGGCGCAGTCTTAGCTTGCTGCAGTTTCCACCTCCTGGGCTCAAGCAATTCTCGTGCTTCACCCTCCTGAGTAGCTGGGATTACAGGCATGCATCACCACGCCCAGTTAATTTTTTGTATTTTTAGCAGAGATAGGGTTTCGTCATATTGGCCAGGCTGGTCTCAAACTTCTGGCCTCAAGTGACCCACCTAGCTCTCTGCAGTTTAATCACTTGTGTAATTACAACCACAGTTAGGAAACTTAACTATAACATCGCCACAAGACCCCCTCATGTTACGCCTTTTATAGCTACATCCATCCTCCCCCCCCCCCCAGCATCTCTGCCCTTGGCAACTGCTAATCTATTCTCTCTCTCTGTAGTTGTTATTTTAAGGAGTGTTACATAAATGAAATCCTATGTACACTTTTGAGATTTGGCCTTTTTCATGCTATATAATTTCCTTGAGATTCATTTAAATTGTGCGTATCAGTAGTTCATTCCTTTTTATTTCTCTGTTGTACAGATATACCACAGTATTTTTATTTGCTTGTAAAAGCAAATGTTAAATGTCATATTTCACTTATAAATTATAACCACAGTATCACATACATAAAGTTAACAGTAATTTTCTAATGTATCCAATGTATGTTTATTTTTCTTACAGAGTCGATTTGTTATCAGAATTCAGACAAAGTCTTTTTTTTTTTGAGATGGAGTTTTGCTCTTGTCAACCAGTGCGATGGCTCGATCTTGGCTCACCGCAACCTCTGCCTCCTGAGTTCAGGCAATTCTCCTGCCTCAGCTTCCTGAGTAGCTGGGATTACAGGCACGCGCCATCATGCCCAGCTAATTTTTTGTATTTTTAGTAGAGACGGGGTTTCACCATGTTGACCAAAATGGTCTCGATCTCTTGACCTCGTGATCCACCTGCCTCGGCCTCCCAAAATGCTGGGATTACAGGCTTGAGTCACTGCGCCCGGCCTACAAGCTCTTATATATTGCATTTCGTTGATGATTTCTACTTTATGACATAATTCTGTTTCATTCAGTGTAATCTAGTGCGTTTTACAAAAATGCAGAATGGGAGAAAAAGAACTACTCAGGTGGAGTTTAGATGATAGTATTAGAATATGGTGTTCAGATATGTAAATACAAATGAAAATAGATTTCTTTGTTTGAGAAACAGTTGCTTTTAGTCAACCTTTTCTGAAAAGTTCTGTAAAGATAGGGACTAGTAAGAGGGGCATCTTGAAGTACAAAGGATCTAGTATTTTGTGTTTTGAAGAGATCCATAAGTGCTTGATAGGGCCCAAGCTGTAATGGTTGTATTGGTTATCCATCACTACACAAATGCTGTATGACAAACCACCTCAAAGCTCAGTGACTTAAAACAGTAAATATTTATTTAGCCTGTGACTCTACAGTCCAAGATTTAGGCTAAATTTGACTGAGCATTATTCTTCCCTCAGCTGGGTTTACTCACATGCCTTGCAGTCAGTTGGAGGATGCAAAGCCATGCCCAACAGGCTAGCCTGGCCATGTTCTCATGGTGGTGGCAGAGGTGCAGAAATATCAAGCCCCATCACACAGGCCTCTCTTTTGGTCATGTTTGCTGTCACCCCAGTAGCCAAAGCAAGTTCATGGCCAAATACAGATTCAGAGTGTGATGGTACACAATTACATGGTCAAGGGCATGGATACAGGGAAGAATGAAGAGTTTTGGACAACAGTGTGTAGTCATTCAATGATATATTTAAAGGAAGATACCATTTGGTATAGAGGGAGGATAGTGATAATAGAATTATAAATCTCATTGAGGAAAGAAATATCTTGGGTTGAAGGAGACTTGAGAGGTAAAGATTATTAATTAAACCAGTAAACTGGTTTGTTGGGACTGGATACCCATACCAAACCCACAATCTTCAACTGGGCTCAGTGGCTAATACCTGTAATCCCAGCACTTTGGGAGGCCAAGGTGGGCAGATCACGAGGTCAGGAGTTCGAGACCAGCCTGGCCAACATGGTGAAACCCTGTCTCTGCTAAAAGTGCAAAATTAGCCGGGCATGGTGGTGTACCCCTATAATCCCAGCTACTGGGGAGGCTGGGGCAGGAGAATCCCTTGAACCTAGGAGGTGGAGGTTGTAATGAACTGAAATTGTGCCACTGCACTCTAGCCTGGGCAACAGAGCTAGACTCCATCTCAAAAACAACAGTAACAACAAAAAATTAAACCTTCTTTGCTAACATATAATTAGCCACACAGCAAAGACTTTGTGGCCAAAATAATAATTATGTATATGTTTCATGTGCCATTACAATAGTAAGAATGAACTAAGTTGCTAGATGATGATGGTGAGGAAGAAGAGGAATGTATTCTTTCCCAAAGGAAGAGTTAATCCCGGTGGAAAGCTAAAGACTAATAGAGTGGAGTTGCCATGCTAGTAGCTGAAAATCAGCAAGGTGTATGCAGTGTACATACAAGGCATATTTTCTCATTTCTCACAGCTTAGTGGGATAGGTACTGTCTGTACTCAGATGAGGAAATGGATTCAGGTGTAAGTAATATAGCCAAAATGATAGTAATTGGTTTAGTAATAAGTCAGACTGTTGGACTCCTGAGGTTGCTCCACCAATTCATTTCTTTAACTCATATTTGAGCCTAGGCTATTTGCTGAGCACTAGAGATAAAAAGATGAGAAATACAGATAGCTGTCCTTAAAGTAGTATATTTATGAAAGGAATTATCAAAAAAGATACAAAGGTGACAAAGGAGAAGGTAGGGCCATCTTTGCTTATGTGTTTAAGTGGGGCTGGGATGTGGTGAATGTTCAGGAATGCTTTACAGAAATGGCCCTTGAGTTGGATCTTGTTGGATGTGTGAACATTCACTAGGTAGCTAGGAGAGGTAAGTGATCCCATCCCAGAAAGAAGAGTACATGTAAAGTCACAGAGGTACAAAACAATAGGGTAAGTTTAGGAAACTGTAGATTATGTCGTGAGGTGGGGGTGTAGCAAGAGATGGTTTAGAAAAGTACATAGGGCCAGATCATGGAAGAAAAAGTATTTTACACTAGGAATATGCTACCTAAACGGAGGACAGAAAGTTATATTGGGACCAGTAGTAGCCCTGACTTTATTTAGAGGTAAGGCAGGCAGGCTCAGAACATCCTGATGTCTCACTCTAGTTCATTTGGAATATGCACAAGGAGCATTTTTTAAACTCATATGGCTTCAGATAACAAGTCTTTTCTCAGTAGTTCTGAAATACTTTGAAGTTAAAAATTCATTCTCTTGCTTATTCATGATCTTCTTTTTTATTTCTTTTTAGGCAGAACGTGTTCATGAGTTAAATGAAGAAATTGGAAAATTGTTAGCCAAGGTGGAACAACTGGGAGCTGAAGGGAATGTGGAGGAATCCCAGAAAGTAATGGATGAAGTGGAGAAAGCACGGGCAAAGAAAAGAGAAGCAGAGGTAAATTCTTAATAGTAGTAGATGAATTCTGCTTAATTTGTGAAGACTAAAAAATGTAGTAGATGAAACTTTAGTATCTATGCCTCTTTAAGAACATGTATTTAAAATGGAAATTATTGGGCAGTTATTAAAGAGAATTTGAACTAAAAGGAAAAAAAACATGGAAAAAGTTGGTCGTGATGGTGTGTGCCTGTGATCCCAACTACTAGGCAGGCTGAGGTGGATTGCTTGAGTTCAGTTCAAGTCCAGCCTTCTTTCTTTATCTTGTGGTATTAGCTACTGTTTTTCAGACTAGAGGGGAAAGGCATGATAGAGGGAAGCCATTATAGTACCTCCTCCAGCATCTTACCATTACACTGCCTTAACATTAGTGTCGATTTTCTTTTTTTTTTTTTTTTTTCCCGAGACGGAGTTTTGCTCTTGTTACCCAGGCTGGAGTGCAATGGCGCGATCTCGGCTCACCGCAACCTCCGCCTCCTGGGTTCAGGCAATTCTCCTGCCTCAGCCTCCTGAGTAGCTGGGATTACAGGCACGCGCCACCATGCCCAGCTAATTTTTGTATTTTTAGTAGAGACAGGGTTTCACCATATTGACCAGGATGGTCTCGATCTCTTGACCTCGTGATCCACCCGCCTCGGCCTCCCAAAGTGCTGGGATTACAGGCTTGAGCCACCGTGCCCGGCCTAGTGTCGATTTTCAGCAGAGGACAGCAAGAATTAAGAAGAGGGAGGAGGAAACGAAAAACTACTGTTGTTTCTCACAGGACCAGTATAGTAACAGTGCGATAATGATGGCCCTGAGACATCAAGAAAATATTACAGTCAATAGACTATTCTCTTCTTTTGAAGAAAGAGAAAGGACCTAACATGTTAGATGTTTTTCACAGAAAGGAAAGAGTGGAAGGAAAACCTATTAATGAGAGAGTATCTTCCTCCCCAGCCATTTTTAATAACTTTCTCACATAATGACTTTGCCTTTGGTTTGGTATCAGGGTAATGGCAATCCAGAAAATGAGTTGGGAAATGTTTTATCTCTTCTGAAAGTCTTTTTCTAGAATTGGCATCATTTCTTACTTTAAATGTTTGATAGAATTCACCAGTCAAGCCACTTAGAACTGGGGTTTTCTTATGGGAAATTCTGTTACTTAAGTTAAATTTTTGGCCAGGTAGGGTGGCTAACACTTGTAATCCTAGCACTTTGGGAGGCTGGGGTGGGTGGATCACCTGAGGTTGGGAGTTCAGTACTAGCCTGGCCAACATGGTGAAACCCCATCTCTAATAAAAATAAAAAATTAGCCAGGCATGGTGGTAGATGCCTGTAATCCCAGCTGCTCGGGAGGCTGAGGCAGGAGAATCGCTTGAACCCAGGAGGTGGGGGTTGCAGTGAGTCAAGATCGCACCATTGCACTCTAGCCTGGGCAACAAGAGTGAAATTCCGTCTCAAAAGAAAAAAATTCTTTTGAGTTTTCAGAGTTTTAGTAATAAGAGACACTCTGTTTTTGGTTTGTTTTTGAGGTAAAAGTCTGTTTCTAAGGCTGGAGTACAGTGGCACAATCTCAGCTCACTGAAACCTCTGCCTCTGCTGGTTCAAGTGATTCTCCTCCCTCAGCCTACCCAGTAGCTGGGACTATAGGCACGATCGCCTAATTTTTTGTATTTTAATAGAGACATTAAAATAGAGGGTTTTGTCATGTTGTTGGCCAGGCTGGTCTTGAACTCCTGACCTCAGGTGATCTGCTGGCCTCAGCCTCCCGGAGTGCTGGGATTGCAGTCATGAGTCACTGTGCCTGGCTTGTGTTTTCTTTCTTTTTTTTTCTTTTTAAAGGTAGGGTTTCACCATGATGGCCAGGCTGGTCTTCAACTCCTGACCTCAGGTGATCCACCCACCTTGGCCTCCCAAAGTGCTAGGATTAAGGGCGTGAGCCACTGCGCCCGGCCTTTTCTTTCTATTTTTAAATCACTTTTGGAAATTTGTCTTTCACAAAATCTAAGTTGTATTTATTGCTATAAAGTTGTTCATAGTGTTCTCTCTTTTATTTTTATTATTTATTTTTCTAAGACGGACTTTTGCTGTTGTTACCCAGACTGGAGTGGAATGCCATGATCTCGGCTTACCACAACCTCCGCCTTCTGGGTTCAAGCAATTCTCCTGCCTCAGCCTCCCGAGAAGCTGGGACTACAAGCGCGCACCACCATGCCCAGCTAATTTTTATATTTTTAATAGAGACGGGGTTTCACCTCGTTGACCAGGATGGTCTCAATCTCTTGACCTCATGATCCACCCGCCTTGGCCTCCCAAAGTGCTGGGATTATAGGCGTGAGCCTATAATTGGTGTCTTCTCCTTTCTTGATTGATCTAGCTGGTCAGTTTTATTTTTCTTTTCAAAGAACCAGTCTTCTGATTTTGTTTCATTTCTTGTTTTCTATTTCATTGATTTCTGTTTATGTTTATTATTTCTTTCCTTATACTTCAGTGGAGAGAGGTCGTAAGGACACAGGATGGGGATAAAGGGAAACCTATAATTTTCATAACAAAATAGCCATGCTTTTGTGCATTCCTTTTTTTTTGAGACCCAGGCTGGAGTTCAATGGCATCATATCATGTCACTGGAACTTCCGCCTCCCAGGTTCAAGCAATTCTGCTGCCTCAGCCTCCCGAGTAGCTGGGATTACAGCACGCACCATCATGCCCTTGCAATTTTTTATATCTTTAGTAGAGATGGGGTTTCACCATGTTGTTCGGGCTGGTCTTGAACTTCTGACTTCAAGTGATCTGCCTGCCTCAGCCTCCCAAAGTGCTGGGATTACAGGCATGAGCTACCACATCCGGCTGCTTTTGTGTATTCTTTAGAAAACACTTTTGGTATAAGCATAGTATATTTTATTTAACTCTATGACTTTTAGTGAGATTTATATGGTAATTTTCTCCTCACTTTTGTTTAGGAAGTTTATCGGAATTCTATGCCAGCTTCGAGTTTTCAACAGCAGAAACTTCGTGTCTGTGAAGTCTGCTCTGCCTATTTAGGACTTCATGATAATGACAGAAGACTGGCTGATCATTTTGGGGGTAAACTGCACCTGGGATTTATTGAAATAAGAGAGAAGCTTGAAGAATTAAAGGTATATTGGTAAAATAGTCCTCACTTTATCCTCCTTACCCTCTTCTTCTTTTGATCTGTGTTGTCTTTTTGTTTAATATTCTTGACTATCATTCAGTAATATATAGTATCTAATGATTAATACTTAACAGTGTAGGATTATAGATGAAATTCACGTTGGTTTAATGGATGCTGTCTGAGGAGCAGACTTTTAAATATTATCCTGTTATTTTGGGAGTTACCATTTTATGTTATCTATGACACTGAGTTAGGAATTTTTCAAACTAGTTTCTAATACAGAGTCCCGTAAAATTTCATTGTTTCCTCATTCTTTTCAATAAGGTCAATAATGTAATTTTTTTTTTCCTTTTTTTTTTTTTCTGAGACAGAGTCTCTCTCTGTCGCCCAGGCTGGAGTGCAATGGTGCAATCTTGGCTCACTGCAACCTCCACCTCCTGGGTTAAAGCAATTCTTCTGCCTCAGCTTCCCAAGTAGCTAGGATTACAGGCACATGCCACCATGCCTGGCTAATTTTTGTATTTTTAGTAGAGATGGGGCTTTATTATATTGGCCAGGCTGGTCTCAAACTCTGACCTTGTGATCTGCCTGCCTTGATCTCCCAAAGTGCTGGGATTACAGGCATCAGCCACCACCCCGGGCCAAAAAAACTATGTATTTTTAAAAAAGACAGTTACTATTAAATATGTAGGCTTCTGTAAGGAAGGCAACACAGTTTTTAGTCTTAAGTTATTTAGAGGGGATAAGCACAAAAAATCATGATATTTCTGAAGTGGTAAAGATGAGTGTTGGTGGATATAATCTATTACCTTTTAATATGCTGATAGCTTTTAAAGAATTGTGGCACTATAGTGTTTTTTTATGAATTGAGGACTGGCTAACGGGAAACATGGCATAGTCATTTTCTATGTAACTGTTATCACTGGAATTAACTCAAGGTCCATAGCATTTAAAATAATGTAGAATCAGAAAATGCCTAGGGACATCTCCATTTGTAGTATTCTGGGTAGCTAGGGTGATCTCAAGTAATTTTAAAAAACTTGTTGAAATGATCACTATAGCAAATAGTTATTGGGCTCCAAGTTAAAGCTCCAGTGGTTCCTGCTTGGTAGTTTTGCATGTATAGACCTAGCATCAGAACTCTAGCATTTCATTCATATCTTTAAAAGCAGCAGCATCAGGATGGTAATTGGAAGTGACCTAAGACATTTCCATATTAGAAATCACAGGGCATGGGAACTTGTAGTGATTTATAATGGTTGATTAAAAAAAATACAGCATAATACTAGAAAACATTCAGAGGAGGAAAATCTTGTAGAATTGACTTGGAAATGTCTTTAAGAAATCGTGGGGGAAAAAACCAAAAAGAAATAAAAAGAAATCATGGAGCTGGACATGGTGGCTCATGACTATAATCCCGGCACTTTGGGAGGCCAAGGCGGTTGGATCACTTGAGGTCAGGAGTTGGAGACCAGTGTGGTCAACATTGTGAAACCCTGTCTCCACTAAAAAATATTAATACAAAACTTAGCTGGGTGTGATGATGCACGCCTGTCATCCCAGCTCCTCCAAGGGCTGAGGCATGAGAATTGTTTGAACCTGGCAGGTTACAGTGAGCTGAGATCGTGCTACTGCACTCCAGTCTGGGTGACAGAGTGAGACTGTGTCTCTAAAAAAATAAAATTATAGAGAGGCCTATCTGAGTGGCTCACACCTGTAATTCTAGCACTTTAGGAGGCCGCAGTAGGATGATCACTTGAGCCCAGGAATTGGAGACCAACTCGCTGTTTGGGCAACATAGCGAGATTCTGTCTGTATTTTAAAATAATTTTTTTTCATTTAAAAATTTTAAAAACACAAGTAGAAATCATGGAGAAATGTGAAATTTTGCACATTTTCCACAAAATGGGGAAAGATTTTGAAAAGCAATTTATAAGCCTAATGATTATATCTGGCAGTACTTCAAATTGAATTACTAAATAGATTTTGATGATAATTGTACTATAAGAAACCAGATAATGTAAATCTTAGGATGAAGTTGATTAAGAATGGACTCAGTAGATATGCTCCTCATTTATTATTGTCATTTTTAAGAGAGTTGTAGCTGAGAAGCAGGAGAAAAGAAACCAGGAACGGCTGAAACGAAGAGAAGAAAGGGAGAGAGAAGAAAGAGAGAAGTTGAGGAGGTATGGAGTAATGGGCCAAGTAATTGAAGTTGAATCTCTGTGGTTCTAAAAAGAGATATAATTGATTTTAAATTTTAGATGGTGATAAATCTGTTATGGGAGGTCGGAAACTTCTACTTACTTTAAAAAATATTGCTGTGCAAATTACGTAAATATTTAATTATACAAGTATCTTAACTCTTGGCCATTTAACTGAATGTGATTTCTTCTAAAAATCTGTGGAAGAGTGAATAAAGAATGCTTCATATCTTGTAAGATATATAACAATCTTTTTCTACTCCTTTGGTTTTTCATGTTGGTCTAGACTTGTACCAGGTTAGCATAATTATTTTTGTTTTTATGATGAATTTTGTTAATAAAAGGTTTGAGGGGGATTGTTTCATGGAAGGGATTTTTTTTTTTTAATTTCCTCAATTCTGGGAGCTATTAACTATTAAAAAGTCTAGTAATAACACCTAATTGTATATAATTTTTGCTTACATTGGTATTCATTAATTGATAAAATCTTACAATTCTTAGTATTTGGAATGTCTAAACATTCTTTTTTTTTTGAGACGGAGTTTCGCTCTTGTTACCCAGACTGGAGTTCAATGGCGCGATCTCAGCTCACCGCAACCTCCACCTCCTGGGTTCAGGCGATTCTCCTCCCTCAGCCTCCTGAGTAGCTGGGATTACAGGCACGTGCCACCATGCCCAGCTAATTTTTTTGTATTTTTAGTAGAGACAGGGTTTCACCATGTTGACGAGGATGGTCTCTATCTGTTGACCTCGGGATCCACCTGCCTCAGCCTCCCAAAGTGCTGGGATTACAGGCGTGAGCCACCGCGCCTGGCTAAACATCCTTTTGTGTCACTTTTACCCACTGACAACTAAAATCACATAGCGTCATGGTGGCAACATTTTTTTTGTAATTTATCTTTATAACTTCTTCACCAGCTTTAGAATGGACAGTTATATCACAAAGGATTTGCCTGTAGTCCTAATATATAGTTTTCTCTGAATCATATTATATGTCTGAAATTTAAATACCTTCTCTTTAGACTTATCAGATGCGCTTAGGCTAATTAAAACCCTTTGTAATATTAGGTTTTATGCTCATTTCCTCCAGTCTTTGAGCATATTGTACTCAGTATATTTCAAGAAGTTCAAGCAGACTTTATTTGTGTTACATGGCTTATAACCAGGTAATCTTCTTGTACCATAATGACAAAGTGAAACAAAATCACATGCGTATATGGTCCCTTTTTAAGGGAAGTAATGTCAGTCCTCTGTTGAGAGAGAGAGATTTATTCATTTACCATAAAGCTTACCTCAGAGCTTTCATCTGCTTGTTCTTTTTTGTACACTAAGTCCTTCTGGGAATATTGCCCACTATTCTAATACATAAATGGAATTTTAAGTAATAGTGAGAATCCCATTTTAAGATTCAACTGAGGTGACAGTAACATGGACCAAAATTTCTTTGCAGGACTACATTTTCACATTTGTAGATGATGAAAAAGTATATTATATCTTACGCTTTTGTTTGCCAAATGGCAAGTTTCTTTTGACAGTGATTATACAATTAACCCTGTTTCAGAAATGTTAAAAAAAAAATGTTGATTCTGCGAGATTATGGAAGTATGGAAGAAGACGAAATTAGAACCTAGTATAAAATTACACAAGATGGGATAAAAGAAAGAATCGTAATCATTTACCAGGTGCTTATTTTGTGCCAGGTACTATAGTCAGGAATTTATCCATATTCGTCTAATCTTTATAAGCCCCACCCCAGTAAAATTTATATTACTGTTCCTCTTTTGCTAGTGACAGACTAAGCTGAGGGATGATATATAACTTAATCGGGTCACACAGTGAATGATAGAACCAGAAAATAAAACTCAAATCTGGCTGATTTCAAAGCCATGCTTTCAACAATGGTATGTATCATCCAAAAAAAAAAAAAAAAATCCCTGTGGTGACCTACTCACCATAATATTTACATTTTATCGAGCATTAAACGTGTGCTAGGAAATGTGACAAATGCCTTATTTAGAGTATCTCATTTGAAGAAACACATTGTAAGATTGAACTAGGTGTTCTAGAGATTATAGTATGATGTTGTAGCTCCAAAAGTATATAGATCTCAGACCATAGAAATTTCACTCTGTTCCCAGAAGGGAAAAAATAAATGACAGAGATATAAAAGAATTTTTTCCAACCTATTAAGTGGTTTCTGAATAGCAAGTTGTAATATATAGGTTGAGCATTCCAAATCCAAAAAATCAAATCCAGTGAGTTTCAAAATCTGAAACTTCTTGAGTGCTGACAATGTTTAAAGGAGATGCTTATTAAAGCATTTCAGATTTCAGTGTTTGGATTTAGAGATGCTTAACCAATAAATTATAATTGTATAATTGTATAATTATATAAATTTATAAACACTTCAAAGTTTGAAAAAAAAAATCGGGTGCCTGTAATCCCAGCACTTTGGAAGGCCAGTGTGGTAGGATCATTTGTGTCTTAAGAGTTCAAGACCACCCGGGCAACAAAAAAATTTCAAAAAACTTGAAAAAATACAGAAGAAAGAAAAAATCCTAAATATTTCTGATTCTTAACGTTTCAGAGAAGGAGTACTTCAACCAGTTATACTGTGTTTTAATCTCCTAGGAGCATACTCTTTAAGAGCCAGGTATTCTGAGTTAAGCGAACCTTGGCAAGGTTGAGAAATCTGTACAGTTGGTGGTGTATTTTGGAAAATTTTGTGTGCATAGGTATATGCCTTATATTTGTAAGATTAATATGAACATTAGAAATCAGGAAGAATATAATGTATCTTTGCACTGTTTTCTTATAGCCACTTTTCTAAAACTATATTCTTTTTTTAGGTCCCGATCTCACAGCAAGAATCCGAAAAGGTAGGTGTATTACATAAGACAGATACAAGTAGTGAAGATGTCTTTTTCAGAGGTAGTTTTTGTAGATTAAATGTCTTTAAAAGTATTTCTTTTCTGGCTGGGCATGGTAGTGCACAGTTGTAATCCCAGCTACTCGGGATGCTGAGGCTGGAGAATTGCTTGAATCCGGGAGGCAGAGGTTATGGTAAGCCAAGATTGTGCAACTATACTCCAGCCTGGGTGACAGAGCGAGACTCTGTCTCAAAAAATATATGTATATATATTTTGAAATTGTTAGATGCTCAGAGTACATATGTAAAAGGATTAAGTTTTAAAAAATAAATTTGGATGATATATTTAGGAAACACTTTCTAAGAGGTTGTACCTATCGAAAATACAAGTAGGTTATGGTTGGATAAAATTCTGATAGATCCACTGTGGGATAAGCAAAACCAAAATGTTTAGTATACCCTCCAGTCTTGACCTTATGTGAGTTTGTTGTGAGTTTATTGCTCATTCCTTTGAACAGTGATCACAGAAAGCTTTCAGAGAGGCATTTGCAGCCTTGAAGAGCAAGACAATACTTTTTTTGACTTTCAGCGTTAAAATTTGGGGTTTGAAACCTTTCTTTATAGTTTTTGCTAGTTTGTGATATATTTTTTGTCTGAGAAAGGCAGGGAAATATATTGTACTTTATTCTTTCTCAGTTCTTCAGTTGCTATTCTCATTCTAATCATTGAACTTTTCTTCATGGATCCATTCCCACCTAGAATGTGCTTTCTCAGTCTTTTCTAAATTCTACCCTTCATCTTGTTCAGATCACATCTTCTTTTTTGAAACCTTCTGAGTACTCAGCTCTAGAGACTATTTCCGAAGAAGTTTTCCCTAAAAAGTAGAGAATTTGTTGTTAGAAAAGAAAAACCTGGCCGAGTGCAGTGCCTCACGCTTGTAATCCCAGCACTTTGGGAGGCTGAGGCAGGCGGATCACCTGACGTCAGGAGTTGAAGACCAGCCTGGCTGACATGGCAAAACTTCATCTCTACTAAAAATACAAAAATTAGCCAGGTGTGGTGGCGGGTGCCAGTAATCCAGCTACTTGGGAGGCTTGGGAGGCTCAAGTGTAAGACGCACTTGAACTCAGGAGGTGGAGGTTGCAGAGACTGTGCCACTGCATTCCAGCCTGGGTGATAGATAGACCTGTCTCAAAAAAAAAAAAAGGAAGAAAGAAAAACCTTATGGTTCTGTTAGCTACATTTTTCAATGGTATTTCTGCCTAAAAAACTAAAGAACATTAATAAGTAGGACCAGTTGTGTTAGCTAATTTATGTTCACCAATAATGGTGAATTTCTGTGATCTAAGATGAGAAGTAGAAATATTAAACTATGATACTATTCTTGTTTACTGTTTGATTAATATAAGCTGGTCCCTTTGTTGAAAACAAAGTATTACACATAGAACATCTTTAGATATCTGGGCCAGAAATTTAATTTCTGCTCCTCTAGTCCTGTTAACCTAGATACTGCATTTGCCTTATAACTGGGCTCCTTATTTCTCTGTGCTTGCCCACTCCCCCTTTTTACCTCATTCTGTTTTTCACACATCAGCCAGAACGAGCCCTTTAAAAGATGAAGTACATTACGTCAGCCCTCTGTACAAACTTTGCAGAGGTTTTTCATCTCATTCTTAAGAGGAAGTAACATCTTTACCATAGCTTTTACATAGGGTGACGGTGTAGTCCAGGGGTGTCCAATCTTTTGGCTTCCCTAGGCCACACATCAGATACACTAATGATAACTGATCAGCTGGAAAAAAAAATTGCAAAAAAAAAAAAAAACTCATAATATTTTGAGAAAGTGTACAAATTTGTGTTGGGCCACATTCAAAGCTGTCCTGGGCAGCATGTGGCTTGCAGGCCGCAGGTTGGACAAGCTTGGTATAGCCCAAACTGCCCTGGGATAGTTCTGGTTTATATCTTTTATCTCAGAATATTTACTAATAGCTTCTCAATGTACTCAATAACTTATTCAGAGCCTTCTGGTTTGAATGATAAAGTTACCTGGTCATCCTCCCTGTAAGACCCTGATGTTACTCCCTTTTACTCACTTCATTCCAGCCACACTGGTCTTTTCCTTCAACATGTTGAGCTTTCTCCTCGCTTAGGGCCTTTGCCTCTGTGTTCCCTCAGCCTGAAACATTCTTCTCTGAGATGGCTGGTTCACTTGTTCCCTTTTTTCTTCTTTCAGCTTTGCTTCAGCTCCATTCTATCAGAAAAGCCTTCCTGCTTATTCTGTATAAATATTACCTCTCTTTTCTCTTTCTTCACCCTACATAATACAGCTTTAAAATTTTTTTTGAGACGAAATTTTGCTCTGTTGTCCAGGCTGGAGTACAGTGGCACGTTCTGGGCTCACTGCAACCTTCTCCTCCCAGGTTCAAATGATTTTCCTGCTTCAGCCTTCCTAGCAGTTGGTATTACAAGGCACGTACCACCACACCCTGCTAAGTTTTTTTATATTTTTAGTTGAGACAGGGTTTCACCATGTTGGCCAGGCTGGTCTTGAACTCGGCCTACCAAAGTGCTGGGATTACAGGCATGAGTCACCATGCCTGGTAATAGATGTTTGTTTTTTTTTTAAGTCACCTGACACGTCTCTATTTATTGCCTGCAAATCTGTATAGATCCCTTTCTGGAGCATAAGCGTTAAGTGTTCAGGTAACTTATTTGCTACTCACCTTCTCTTAGTACCTAGAACAGTGCAGAAAGACCTAGTGAATATTTTTTGGATGAATTATCTAGAATTTTTTAAAAGATGAATAAAGTTACACATTGGAAGAAATAGCATTCATAATAACTCAGAATGAGTGGTTAAACAAAAGATCACTTGATAAGAGTTTTATATATTTTCCCTCTGTTTCCTTTTGGAATTATTCTTTTTAACTGTGGAAATACTTTGTTTTTTGAGAGAGGGTGTCACCCTGTCGCCTAGGCTGGAGTGTAGTAGTGCTTAAACAGCTCACTGCAGCCTCTCCCAGGCTCAAGCAGTCTTCCTCCCTCAGCCACCTGAGTAGCTGGAACCACAGGTGTGTGCCACCATATCCAGCTAATTAAAAAAACTTTTTTGTAGATATGGGGTCTTCCTGTGTTGCCCAGGCTGGTCTTGAACTCCTGGGCTTAAGCAGTCCTCCCACCATGGCCTCCCAAAGTGCTGGGATTACACAACGCGGGCTACTGTGCCCAACCAGAAATATTCTCTTTAAGTATGGTTAAAGCTATGTTCATGTCATACACCTTTCTTTGACTATAATGTTGATATAAGCTGAATGCTTTTAAACATCCTTTATAACAAAATAATCAGTTGAAGATAAACCCTATTCATAAACTATCTCATCTGTAGGAATTTAAACTGGCTGTATCAGATTATGAGCAAATCTCACATTCTTAAAGTTACTTAAACAGTTTTATTGAGGTATAAAATATATACCATAAGATTTACTCTGAGGTCAGTGATTTTTTTTAGCTGTGCAACTGTCACCATAATCCAGTTAAGAACATTTTCATCATTCTTTTTTTTTTTGAGACGGAGTTTTGCTCTTGTTACCCAAGCTGGAGTACAATTGCGTGATCACGGCTCACCGCAACCTCCACCTCCTGGGTTCAGGCAGTCCTCCTGCCTTAGCCTCCTGAGTAGCTGGGATTACAGACATGCGCCACCATGCCCAGCTAATTTTTTGTATTTTTAGTAGAGACGGGGTTTCGTCATGTTGACCAGGACGGTCTCGATCTCTTGACCTCGTGATCCACCCGCCTTGGCCTCCCAAAGTGCTGGGATTACAGGCTTGAGCCACCGCGCCCAGCCATTTTCATCATTCTTAAAGTGACTCTTCTAACAAAGTTGTATGCCTCTGTTTTTTCTTGTTTTCTGTTACATGTTTATGTCCCTCTGAATGTCTTTTCCACCCTCATCACATACTCTGACCCACCCCAAGTTAGTTTGTGAGGCTATAAAAGTGTCTTACCTTCTGGGTTTTTTTTCTTTTTTAAAAATATTTTTATTTTGCCTGCACCTGGATCGTAAATCTTCTAGCTTTTCAGAATGTTTTTTCTTCTATACTTCTGTATACTCATTAGAAATACATTTTTTTGCAATCTGAGTCAAGTTCTCAAAAATTATTTTTGCAAGTTTTCTTTCTCCCAAACTGTGTTCCTTGAATAGGGAACTGTCTTGCTCTTGTTTTGTCTTGCTCTCTGTCGCCCAGGCTGGAATGCTGTGGTGTGAACACAGCTCACTGTAGCCTTGACTTCCTGGGCTTGGGTATTCTTCACGCCTCAGCCTCCCAAAGTGCTGGGATTATAGGTATGAGCTACCACTCCTGGCCTTTACTCTGTTTTGATTACAGTGCAACTAGGCATGCATACTGTGGGCATTAAAAACTTATTTCTATGATTATCTCAGCTTTCTAATTCAGAGAGCGTAATTAATTTAGCCTGAACAGTATTCTTCTTCATCTCTTCCCTTCTGTCCAGGTCTGTCAGGTACATATTTAATTTCTAGAGAATATAAAAAATGTTCAAAATAAAATCTTTAAATGAAATTCATAATGCATCTAAATACAGTCCCTGGCATATAGTAGTAGTTCAAAAGCTGCTTTCACTTGAAAAACTATTTCTGATATAAATACTGATTGATCAATGTCTTGTTTTTTGTGTTTTGTTTTTTTATTAAGACAGAATCTCACTCTGTTGCCCAGGCTGGACTGCAGTGGTATGATCACAGCTCATTGCAGCAGCCTTGACCTCCCAGGCTCAAGTGATCCTCCCACCTCAGCTTCCTGAGTAGCTAGGACTACATGCATGTGCCACTGTGCCCAGCTAATTTTTGTATGTTTTATAGAGACAGAGTTTCGCCATGTTGCCTAGGCTGGTCTCGAAATCCTGAGCTCAAGTGATCCTTCTGCCTTAGCCTCCCAAAGTGTTGGGATTAGAGGTGTGAGCCACGATGCCTGGCTAAGAATTATTAGTGTTTTATTTTTGACTTCTAATATGTAGCTATTAACACACCAGCAATTTAGTGTAGAGTTAGCTGACTTGCAGTATAATTGGCATTAAGAATACTAAAAAAAAAAAAAAAAAAAAAAAAAAAAAGTTTCTCTTTAAAGAGTAGGCTTTAATAAATGAGAAAGGTAAAAACAAAATCACATCTTGTCTGTTAGATCCAGGTCCAGAGAGCATCGCAGACATCGATCTCGCTCCATGTCACGTGAACGCAAGAGGAGAACTCGATCTAAATCTCGGGAGAAACGCCATCGCCACAGGTCCCGCTCCAGCAGCCGTAGCCGCAGCCGTAGCCACCAGAGAAGTCGGCACAGTTCTAGAGATAGGAGCAGAGAACGATCCAAGAGGAGGTATTGATGTGTCAATCAGAGGATATGGAGCTACCTTAATGTTTTAGAGTTGGTTATGTTTACTTATGTTACTTATGTTTAGAGTTTAGATTATTGGTTTGAAACTTTTGCATCTGGTAATATGTACACATTTGTGTGTGGGTATAAAACATTTTTCTGTGATTATATGGGTAGTTTTGAAAGAATATACTTAACGAACCAGAGCAAGAAATTGGAACCAATATGTGCAGAGATTATTGCTTTTCTCTGCTTAGTATGTCTTGGAAAAAAGTTCTTTACAGGTAAATAATTTTAAGTACCAATGCCCTTAGTATGGATCAGCAAATTAGGGGCTCTGAGAAGTCCCTTCATTAAAAGAGTTGTTTCGCTTTGATTTGAGCTGAGATGCTTTCTCAGAGCAGACACATTCTAGTATATTCTTGTTTAATCTGCACTATAAATATGTATTGTTACATACCTTTAGCTTGGCAGGGCAGACTCATAAGACTTTCTTGGTATAATGAAAAAATTCAAAAGGTGCAGACATAGGGTAAGGTATGTTTGAGGACTTGAATATCTATTAAGAATAGGCAAAGGATTATAATGTGGTAGAGAAGTTTAGCACTCATAGTCTGTACAGATCAAACTCTCAACTTCTCAGGTCACATGTTGGCCCTTTAACCAGGTAATTTCTGTATAATGCAAGCCATGTTTAAAATTGCTTTTTTCTTGACAACTATTCTTAAGTATATGTATGATAAACATTTTTTGAGTGCCTAGTACTTACTAGTCTTATATACTCTGTGGATTACTCCACATACAATCTATAATAAAATCCATGGAAAGCTGTTAAAATCTTTCCCCCTTTTCTTTGACTCAATTTTCCATTCCCTGAAATCACTCACAAGCTGAGTTTGTTAATAGGCTCTCAAACAATATTTTATTTCTTATATTCTGGCCATGTTTTTAGTAGTCCTTAAGGTGGTTTTAATAATAATTGTATACGTTCTACTGTACTAGACTTAGAAAAACATAAAGATATATAACATAGTTGAACAACTTTAAGTTGCTCTAAGAAGTTTCCTAAGTCAGGCTGGGCATGGTATCTCACACCTGTAATCCTAGCACTTTGGGAGACTCAGGCGGGCAGATCACTTGAGATCAAGAGTTCAAGACCAGCCTGGCTACCCAACCCGATGTCTAGTAAAATACATATATTAGCCGGGTATGGTGGCGCATGCCTGTAATCCCAGCTTCTCAGGAGGCTGAGGCAGGAGAATTGCTTGAACCCGAAGGCAGAGGTTGCAGTGAGCTGAGATTGCATTACTGTACACCAGCCTGGATGACAGAGTAAGACTCCATCTCTCAAAAAAAAAAAAAAAGGCTTCCTATGTGAGATAGAACACAGCACCGACATCTCTGACAATAGACTGGCATGAGACTACCACATGTTACAAAGTTCTGAACTGCTTATCATAGAGTAAATGGTCCAAGAGTTTAGATGAGGTGTATAACAGAGTAATAAAAAATGGCTCCAGAAAGGCAATAAAATTTAAACAGGTGGAATCAGCTAGGAAAGATATTCCATACAGAGTGAATATCCTAGGCAAATGTGGAGAATGAGCAGGGAGTTTGTGAGGGACAGAGTGATTTGTAGGCCTCTTATCTCACACTCTTGAAACTGGATTTTGGGGTCTACTCTCAGTGCAGTATTCAGAAATAAGCATTTTAAAAAAAAATTAATTTTTATCTGCACAATGAATTTTCAGAATTATCCTGCTAGGTGATTGAAGGTTTAGACATTTTCTTGTGTCAATCCACCCAACTGTCATCGTTGTTGGTGTTGCTGAACTCTTAAATGTCTTTATTGGTGGTGGGTATGGGAAGGATGGGAGTGAAGTTCCCTCATCTGCGATTGTGTTATCTTAGTCCCTGATGCTTCCTGCATTTACGAAGTTGTATAGGAAATTTTCCACCGTACTACATGATACCCCTCATATCTAAGATGTCAGCATGTTCATAAAGAGGATTATTTTTGTAAAACTATTAAAAGTTTTGCTTTTATCAAGCACTTTCTCATCTTTTAATTCAAATTATTCTCTTTTAAAGCATCATTCTTTGTTTTTACAAAAAATTATCAGATAATTGCTGTTAAAACCTACTTGGTATAACATACAACATCAAGTTACTGCTATATATTTGGGTTTAATTTTTCAAGATAAAAGTTCTCACTTTAAAGCCTTTTATGTTTTGCTGTTCTCCTTTTCCTTCTCTGAAATACTGGTCTCTGATATAAGTAGATTGCCTTTATGACCTCTTCCTGGCAACAGTACCCTGTGTAAATGAGGACCATTTGTAGCTTTCTTTTTGCTCTGTTCAAACATGTTTAATGCAGACTTCAAAGTCAGACTCTGTAGTCTGACTTTGGGTTCATTGGTTTTGGCTAAGTAATTTATTTATTTTTTTGAGCACTCTTTGCCCAGGCTGTGGAGGGTAGTGGCATGATCTTGGCTCATTGCAACCTCCACCTCCTGGGTTCAAGTGATTCTCCTGCCTCGGCCTCCCAAGTAGCTAGAATTACAGGCCCATGCCACCATAACTGGCTAATTTTTGTATTTTCAGTAGAGGCAGTGTTTTGTCTTGTTGGCCAAGCTGATCTAGAACTCCTGACCTCAGGTTATCTACCTGCCTTGTCCTCCCAAAGTGCTGGGATTACAGGTGTGAGCCACTGCATCTGGTCTTGGCTAAGTAATTTAATTAACCCACCTGTCTTTCTCCAGCTACTAAGTGGAGATGGTAAGAATACCTACTTTAAGATTATTGGTAGTTTGAGTAAAATAGTATAAGGAAGCTGCTTATGTTGGGACATAGTAGTTGATACTCATCTCATAGTTGTCTTTCAGTTATTATTACTGACCTTGGGCCTGTTTAGCATCTAGTGTCCTTATTTTAGGTATCATTTCTACCATCTCTTTTCATATTTTATTCCAACAAAGGTTATGGATAGGGCTAGTGTAGACTTGAAATTACTAGTCTTGGCACTGTGCGATTTTTTTTTTTTTTTTTTTTTAATTTAAATGGAGTCTCACTCTGTCACCCAGGCTGGAGTGCAGTGGTGCGATCTAGGCTCACTGCAGCCTCTGCCTCCCAGGTTCAAGCGATTCTCTTGCCTCAGCCTCCTGAGTAGCTGGGACTACAGGTGTGCACCGCCATACTCAGCTAATTTTTTGTATTTTAAGTACAGATGGGTTTCACTATGTTGGCCAGGCTGATCTTGAACTCCTGACCTCAAGTGATCTGCTCGCCTTGGCCTCCCAAAGTGCTGATGTGAGCCACCACACTCAGCCTTTTTACATCATTTTAAAATTAAGTTTATTAAAACATTAAGTAGAATGCCGAAAGTTGATAATTATTTAATTTTAGAACTTTTGTTTAACCCTCAACTATATTTCTAAAACTGAACAGTCACATTTTTCATTTTTCTTAAAGTATTACTTATTCAGGTTCTTAGTAGTGCCTCAGATCCTAATTCTGAATATGAGTGAAGTAAGATAATTATGTGAAAGTACTGTGTCACCTGTAAAGAACCAAATAAATGTAATTTGTTGAATTTTAGATGTCGGAAGTATACACTGTTCCATGTTCTATTTCATAATATGTTTGTTTTTCCTTCTGATTGTTATTTACCTTTCTTTTTGAAGTTGGGTATGGGAATGGAGAGGGTAGTAAACAGTTAATGGCTAATCAAGATTCATTAGTGTGAGCATCTTTGTCTTTTTTTTATTTCCCCCTTGTTGGTTGAATAAGCTAACTCAAGATGAGTAGATTTTAAAAATAAAGTGGTTATTTAAATCCATATTACTTGAGTAGTAATCTTATCTAAGTCAGGTGTTGGCGGACTGTTGCCAGTAGGTCAAATCTGGCCGGTAGCCTGTACAACCAGCAAGCTATGGATGGTTTTTACATTCTAAAAAGAAAAGGAAGAACACTGCCACAGAGATTGCATGGACCCGCAGCACCCCAGATACTCACCATCTGGCCTCTGTTCTAAGTCATTTAAAATTTAGATATAATACCTTTCACTTTTTAAAGCTATTATCTATATATTATTTTTTATATTAAAATACCTGTTATGAATTGGAGGAACTGTGTTGTCTCTGAGATAATGAGAGTAGCCTGTAAGAAATTATTTAAGCCTTTGACCCTCAGCTATTTGTTTTTCACCCATCTTCTTGTTTTAGTGCCCTTATCAACTATGGTAGTGCACTGTATTTTGTCAGAAAACTGACTCCTCTGTCTTGTGTATATTCTTCGATATATCTTCAGCTATCAGTAGCTTAATATTTATCCTATTCTTTAATTTGGGTTTTTGGGTTTCCCAACATATTTTGCTCCTCAAATTAATATTTTTCAGATCCTCAAAAGAAAGATTCAGAGACCAAGACTTAGCATCATGTGACAGAGACAGGAGTTCAAGAGACAGATCACCTCGTGACAGAGATCGGAAAGATAAGAAGCGGTCCTATGAGAGTGCTAATGGCAGATCAGAAGACAGGAGGAGCTCTGAAGAGCGCGAAGCAGGGGAGATCTAACTAGCTGTGTACATTTCTTCAGTCCTTAAGCTTCCTACGGAGTTACGTACTATTGTTTAGTTCACAGCTGTTCAGGGTGACAGTAAGCAGATCCAGACACCAGATCCAGCTAGGCTAGATGTACAGTATCTAACTTGATCTGAACTGAACCTGTTTTCCTTGATGATGCCTAAAACTACATCCATAGTTTCTGGTGAACCTGTAATACAGTTCTGAAAGTACCATTTTATATAATAGGATGCTGATCTCTATTCTTTCAAGTAAGAGTGATAGTGAACAAATTGTGTTACTTGCCTTGGGATTTTTTGAACATTTGTAAAATGCTGTCTTCCTAGTCCAAACAGCTGCAGCTTTGGGCATTTGCTTTTTAATTCTTCTTTCTCTGACTTTGTATCCCTTAATACCTACACTCTCCAATTGTAAGAGAAGGCGGGCAGGGAAGCAATAGAGCTTCCATTCTAAGGCTCTACTCCCGTTATGAATTACTAGTGATTACAGTTCAGAGCATTGATCCTGGAATGTGTGCTGGAGAAATTTAAAATACTGGGTTTTTTGTTTAATGGGGCCTATTTAGAGTTGGAAATTGAACAGCTGTTGCATTACATACTTTTGCTTTTTTATTGAAATTTTGAAATCAAACTTGTCTTGATTTTTCTGTTCTGTTGAATTGCTATATTCAGGATGTTCTTGGGGGGTGGGGGCAGGGACTTCGTAATAAGCACTTGTTTTACTTTGTGTGTGTGGAGTATAAAGGCTACACCCTTATTGTAAACATAATAAAATGAAAGAAACAATCACCACCACCATTATTAAACTGTAACTTGTCTAGTAAATTGTCACTAGAACTATTTGCTGTGGGCATTTCTTCTATTCTGTTATATCATTAATAGTGCCTTACTGTGCAAGGCACCAAAGAACATAAATATGTACTTGCAGAGATTCCAGGTGAGCTGTTCACGTGGGCCCCTTACTGACTATATTCCAGCCACATCAGAGTTGTTTTTAGTGACCATTATAGAGAAGGAATGGACCTGTAGAAGAAATTGGGTGTTCTTATTCTCATTCAGCAAACCCAAATAAAAACAGTATATGTAACCAACATAATGAGACTAAATTTCTGCATTGAAGAGTTGTAAATCCACTAGTAACTTAAACTGTAATTGGCAGGTATCACTTGTGATTCTGGAAATTCTGAGGAACAAAAAATTCCTTAAGTAATGAAATTAGTATCTTATAGTGGGTATAATTAACTAAGGCCACCTTTCAAGAACTGTTAATGTCCTTCATCCCCAAGTTTGACAGATTTGATGTCACAGGCATGTGGGCCCCTGTGAAGGTGGTGAGAGAATGGGAAACTAAGGCCATTCTAAGTGATAGCAGATTTACCTTAAAAAAAAAAAAACCCCATCAAGTTAAACTACGCTTCATTAACTGAAGGTTTTCTGCCGTATTTGGTTCCACACATGCAATTTATATGACATTTAATCCAAGAGCCCCATCTGCATCAATGGCCTATTTCCCTTCTTTTATTTTTGGTTGCTGAGAAATGTTTTCTGTCTACTTTGTTCCTGGTAGTCTGTGCTTTTCTAAATCTTTATAGGCACTTCGGATTTAGTACATTGGGGTTTGGAGTAAGATCAAAAGGAGACTAGCTGGTTGGTGTGAGGAAGAATGTCTGGGACCTGGCCATTAGAGTAGTATTTTTGGACGTAGATTTTGAACTCTAAAACGTATGTACAGTTGGAATTGAACACTTGTAGAAGTAACAGGTCTGCATTATCAGTGGCTATAGCAGTTGCGGTTTCTAGGTGATACAGGCTGCCCCAACACCAACAGGGCATGATAGCCATGAAGTGCAGTCACTCGGGCTGTGCACCGCAGGAGACCACTTCAACTGCAGGGCTCTGCATGACTGATGCCACTGAATTAGAGTAACTCTAAAATCTCAAATCTTTGTCATTTTCTTATATACAACTTTTGGTCGTTCTGTGTTGGTGACTGGTAGAAAGGATAACTTGTCCCTCTGGGGGGTGTTTTCCTAAATTTTTACCTTCAGGTTTCCTTCATTTTGCTGTTATCAGGTAGTACCCCAAAGCCTCTTTGCTGAGCTTCTCAACACCAACTAAGCCTAAGGGAAAAAGCCTCCTTAAATAGGCACGTATGTTTGTTTATTTGAGACAGAGTTTCTCTTGTTGCTCAGGCTGGAATGCAGTGGTGTGATCTTGGCTCACTGCAACCTCCGTCTCCTGGGTTCAAGTGACTCTCCTGCCTCAACCTCCCAAGTAGCTGGGCTTACAGGCATGCACCACCACGCCCAACTAATTTTTGCATTTTTAGTAGAGACAGGGTTTTGCCATGTTGCCCAGACTGGTCTGGAAGTCCTGGCCTCAGGTGATCTCCCTGCCTCTGCCTCCCAAAGTGCTGGGATTAAGGCATGAGCAACCTTCTTTGTTCTGCCCCTGCCAGCCTTGTTTTTAAACAGACTTTCTTGTTATTAGGCCTAAAACCAAGGTTAATTTACCTTTATCTTTTCCAAGTTCATCTTTCCCCTCCATGTTACGTTTTAAAGATCTTTTTTTTTAATTTTTAATTGTTCTTTATTTCCTTTTTTCCCCTTTTTTTATAGAGACGGGGTTTCACCATGTCAGTCATACTGGTCTCGAACTCCTGACTTCAGGTGATCTACCCACCTTGGCCTCCCAAAGTGCTGGGATTACAGGCATGAGCCACTGTGCGTGGCCAAGAATCTATTTTTAATAATAGCTTTCAACATTGGCCTTTTGAGCAGTTGCCAAGTATGCATTACAATTTCCACAAACACCTTTGCCATTTGATATGGTAGTAAATTCTTTCAAAATGATTTTTAGGTAATGGTTATGTACATCATTTAAGTTTTTCCAAATAAAGGTTGGTTATAATTGTTAAATTTGTTTATGGGTTTTTTTTTTTTTTTTTTAAGATATGGTCTTGCTGTATCACCAAGCTTGAATGCAGTAGCATGATCTTAGCTCACTGCAGCCTCAGTCTTGGGCACAAGTGATCCTCCCATTTTAGCCTCTTAAGAAGCTGGGATTACAGGCGTACCTGTAATCCACCACGTCCAGCTGATTTCTTTTTAAAAATAAAAAGATTTGTAGAGGCCGGGTATAGTGGCCTCATGCCTGTAATCCAGCATTTAGGGAGGCCGAGGCAAGCAGATCACTTGAGGTCAAGAGTTCGAGACCAGCCTGACCATGGTAAAACCCCATCTCTACTAGAAGAAAAAAAAATACAAAAATTAGTAAGGTGTGGTGGCATGCACCTGTAGTCTTAGGAGTCTTAAGGCACGAGAATAGCTTGAACCCGGGAGGCAGAGGCTGCAGTGAGCCAAGGTCACACCACTGCACTCCAGCCTAGGCAACAGAGTGAGACTTTGTGTCAAAAAAAAAAAAAAGATTAGCCAGGTGTGGTGGCACATCCCTGGAATCCCAGCTACTCTGGAGGCGGAGGCAAGAGAATCACTTGAACCCTGGAGGCAGAGGTTGCAGTGAGTGGAGATGGTGCCACTGTGCTTCAACCTGGGCAACAAGAGTGAAACTCCATCTCAAAAAAAATTGTAGAGATGGAGTCTTGCTTTGTTGCCCAGACTGGTCTCTTAACTCCTGGGCTCAAGCAATTCTCCCACCTCAGCCTCCCAAAGTGCTGGGTTTACAGGAATGAGCCACTGCACCCAGCCCATTTATATATATATAATTTTAAAATAGCTGCCCATCACTGAGTTATATATATATTTTTAGCTTTAAAAATCCACTATTACAAAGCTAAGAAAAAAACATCATTAGGCCGGGCATGGTGGCTCACACGTGTAATCCCAACACTTTGAGAGGCTGAGGCAGGCGGATCACAAGGTCAAGAGATCAAGACCATCCTGACCAACATGGTCAAACCCTATCTCTACTAAAAATATAAAAATTTGCTGGGCTTGGTGGTGTGCACCTATAGTCACAGTTACTCGGGAGGCCAAGGCAGGAGAATCACTTGAACCCGGGAGGTGGAGTTTGCAGTGAGCCGAGATCGTGCTACTGCACTCCAGCCTGGTGACGGAGTTAGACTCTGTCTCAAAGCAGTAACACCACACACAAAACCACTTATTGAATGGGATATTCAGCTGTTAACGGCTATCCCAGTTGTGAAACCATTGAAACTTGTCCCTTCAACTGGTAAAGTAGCCCTGGCTACTTGAGTGCCTGCCCCCAACACAAGACCAGCACAGCCAGGAACCTCCAGAATAGTTCACTACCAACGTGCTGTACTGACTTAAATAGTTTGAAACACATTCTTAATGTCTGTTTTGTGTCTGGAAAAGCAGAAGCTATTTGATGTAATAAATTCTTTCAAAAATGGTTTTTAGGTAATGGTTATCTACCTTAAGTTTTTTCAAATAAATGCTGTGGGTTTTGTTTTTTTAAGACAGGGTCTCTCTTGCCCAGGCTGTAGTTCAGTGGCACAATCTTGACTCATTGCAGCCTCAACCTCCTGGGCTCAGGTAATCTTTTTGCTTCAGGCCCCTGAATAGCTGGGACAACAAGTGTGTACCACCCTGCCTGGCTAGTTTTAATAGACACAGGGTTTCATTGGGTTGGCAAAGCTGGTCTCCAACTCCTGAACCCCAGTGATCTGCCTGCCTCAGCCTCCTAGAGTACCTGGCCTACATCATGATTTTACTGTATCTTTGTGATTTAAAATTTCCTGGGGTATAAATAAGGCAATATGAAGTTGCCCTTTCTCAGTATTTTTCTTTGTACTGCCTGTTACTTGGAAAAGCATTTTCTCCTTCAGGGAAGATAGGAAAGGCTAGAGAGCTGAGAGAACAGGGTTTCCCTTGGCAGAGGCTGAGTGGGGGAGACCAGTCAGGGGTCTGTCAGCAGAGTAGTGCTGGGCCATGCATGAGAGGGGGTTCTGGGGTCAGCAGGCAGTACACCTGCATGTTCTCCAGGTAGCAGCAGAAACATTAGGGTGTTGGAGGTTTTGGGTCTACAGGCATATCTGGGGATCAGAACAAGCCAGTGGCCAGAATTAAAGGGTGTAGGCTGAGCAAGGCATGAGACTCACAGAACTGGGCTGTCAGTCAAGCAAGGATCCAAGAGATGGGCCAGCCAAATAGAAGTCAAAGGCTGGTGTTGGCACCAAATCTACTCTCACACTCCTTTGGGAGACTGGTTCTTCAAGTCTCAAATGCTGTTCACACCCGTCTCTGGATGCTGTTGGCTGGCTACCTGTAAAAGAAAATAGACTAAATGGGCTAAACTCTGAAGGGACCTTATTGGCTCATGTGACTGAGTTGCATGCCAGCTTCATCTCTCAGAAAAGCACCTGAGCCCTATATCCATATGAAGAGAAACCATTCCATCTTGTGCCTCTTAAGAGCAAGGCAACTTTTCCTAGAAGCTTTTGGCAACCTTTTTCTCACACCTCTGTCCCTGGCACAGAGACCTACACAGACGATGCTCAATGAATGCAGAATGAATTAATGAAGTGCCTCGTTGTTTCCGACATACATTAACCCACACGATCTCATTTGATTCATATAACAATCCTGTGGTTACTCGCAGGGACCACATTCTGTCACCATCATGCCCATTTTCCAGAGTAGGAAGCTAAGCCATGCTGAGTGAGTAATGAGAAGTCAGGACAGAGTCAGCCAACACCTTTTTGATTCTAAGCCCAAGGCTCTTCCTGGCATGAAGTATGTGATAGGTATTCTCAGCTGGGAGTGGCAAGAAGAGAGCAACAGAAATGTCCATTGAGGAAACAAAAAGGACTGAAATCAACGAAGCAGGATAACTGCAAGTACTGTTCCATTTCCAGC